AACAGGAAGTAGTCTGAGACCCTGGTCATAGCTGGAGCATAGGAGACCTCAAAGCCCACCCCCACAGTGACACACTTCCTCCAACAAGGCCACACCTCCTGATAGCACCACTCTTTATGAGTTTATGGGGACCAATTGCTTTCACACCACCAAAGTTGGCAGAGCTGCCAGTCATGCTGGCCTGAGTTTGATTCCCCGGGACCTCCATCATGGAAACAGATGATCAACTCCCAACAGTTGTTCTCTGACCTGTGCACCAAAGGACTCATTTGGAGAAGGATTCACAGCTATTTTTTAAAGGACTAAAACAAGTATCAAAATTACAAGAATTAACAAAGCATTCTCGGTAACAGTTCTAAATGTCACTAGTCTTAGCACTCCAATTAAAAGGGCACACTGACTTATTGGGTTAAAACAAGAATCCAGATCCAACTCCTGGGTCTGGAGAGATAGCTCAGAAGTTAGAAGTGCTTGAAAGGACCCCAGGTCAACTCCCAGGACCCGCATCAGGCAGTGAACCACCACCTGTCACCCTGGAGGATCCAATGGCATCTCCTGGCCTCTGTAGGGGCACACACACTGAGGCACAGAGAAAAATAGTAAAAAATAATCCTAGAAAAACAGTCCAACAATTAATTAGTTTTCTTGAAATTCAACCACCAGGAATACACACACAGAACAGCAGATACAAATGTACTATTGCTTGGGAGGAAGGTAATAGACTTGGGTAGTTCTAGAACCTTAAAAAGTCATGGTGATACAACCCAGTTGGTAGTCTGGCTGGCACCCCGAGTTCATGCCCAAGCACTACGTAAACCAGGTATGGTGGTGCATGCCTCAAGGGTTATCCACAGCTACATGGCGAGATAGGTGTTAGCCTGGGCTAAAAAGTCTATCTCCAACAGAAATCAGGTCCCAACACGGCTTTTGAGTTGCAAAACTGGATTTGCTGTTCGAGAATGATCTATGATGACTCATCTGAAAGGCTTCTCCTGGGCCCTTGTCAACAGCTGAGTCACTAATTTGCTTAGACTGACAAACAGGACCGCGCCTCCCTTCCAAGCCTCTGCTCTTCATGTGCCCCACCATTGCCAGGCTGTTGCTCACCCCAGACACAAATGCCCAGGAGGCACCACACTAGTCTCCTTTTGGCTCAAATCTTTCCCAATACTATAGTGCTAAAAATAGTTGAAAGCAAAACTTGTAAATTTGGGGTCTATCTAGGGCTTCGGACTCACTGTGCGTTGAGTTTCTCTGTGTCTGCTTTTTAACTTGGCTTTCTCCGCTGGCCAGGCACTGAGGTGGTTTGCTGAACTTTCATTCTGCCTTTGATATTTTTCCTTCTATGACAACAAAAGAGCAAGAAAACACAAGGTTGGGTGTTTAAAAAGAAAGGTATCCCTGTGTCTCGGCTCTGCCCCTTCCCCCCAAGCATCCTGCTTCACTTTGACCTGTATCCACAAAGAGAAGCAGTCCTGCCCCTCATCTTCTTCCCTTCCAAAGCCTTACCAAGCCAAACGTCACGTTCAAAGCCAGACTCAAAGGAGAAACTCTCAGCAAGTACTTCTTCAAAGTCCTCTGTATGTCAGTTATTCCTCTTGTTAAGACGGTGAGTCTCAGGACTGAGGGGCTGCCCCCTGCAGTAGAGTACTTGGCTCACAGCAAGCATGATGACCTGGGGTCAGATCCTGAGAATCCACACAAAAAGGCGGAGACAGCAGGAGGACCCCTGGAGATCATTAGCCAGCCACTCAGGTCAATTGGGAAGTTCCAGTTTAAGTAAGAGGCCATGTCTCAAAGAAATAAGGTAGAGGGGCTGGAGAGATGCTCCATCAGTTAAGAGCATTGGCTCCTCCTTCAGAGGACCCGGGTAACTCACAACCATCTGTGACTCCAGTTCTAGGAAATCCCTTTTGCCTTCCTCTAACACCAGACATGTACATGGCATTCAGATATACCATGCAGGCAAAAATACCTGTCCCAAAAAACATAATATTAAAATTAAAAGGTAGGAGAGGCCGAGGAAGAGCCCCCAACATCAACCTCTGGCCTCCACACAATGTGCATACACATGTGCAAACATACAGACACATGTACACATACAAAAGAGGGAAGGACTGTGTGTGGTTCAGAGGTAGAATGAGTGTCTGTGAATCAATACCTGTCCAAGCCCTCAGTGGGGGACTGGTACAAATTGTAGGGTACCAGTTAGCTATTGTTCCTCCCTAATGTTGGGGTGCTGTTGCTCACGGCCTCACACGAGCTAGGCAAGTGTGCTCCTACTGAGACACATTCTCGGCCCTTTTAAATTTTTATTTTGAGACAGAGTCTCACTATGTGGTCCAGGCTACCTGGTTCTCTGAGTCATCCTGTGCCAGCCTTAGGAGTACTGAGAGGGAAACTAGCCTTGCTCACACTATGGCTTCCCATGTCTGGCTCCCAGAACTGTGAGAGAACTAAATGCTTGGGGGTTTTGTTTTTGTGTTGTTTTGTTTTGGAGACAGGGCTTCTCTATATAATCCTGACTGTCCTGGATCCAACTCACAGAGATCTACCTCCCAAGTGCTGGGACTAAAGGCTTGCACCACCACTGCCCAGCCCGGCTATAAATGTTTGTTTTAAGCCAATTAGTTTGTGGTAATTCATTATAACAGTCCTCAGACACTAACTTAATTCTCACATGAACATCCTGGCTTTTTCTCACAGATGAGCCCTGGGTGTCCTCCACCACACAGCCTGACCTGGCCCAACCCAATCTTTCCAGAACTGAGCTGCAATAAGCTTCAGCCCCAGGACATCCCTGTCCTTATTTCCCAGGTGTGCATCTTAACCATCTTCAGGTTTCAGGTACCACACCACCTTCTGCAGGAAATACACTTGGCTCCCTCCTGTGTTGCTGTAACGGTTACTTTTCTCATGGCTGCTACAACATCCCTGACAAAAACAAGTTAAGCCAGGGAGAGCTGGTTTCGCCTTACAGTTGGAGGGTACAGTCATGGAGGCAGGAGTATGAAGCCACTGAATCTCACTCGGTACACAGTCAGGAAACGGAGAGAGATGAACGCTGGTGCTCACCTGTGTCAGGTCCAAAAAACAATAGGCACTGAGGTGCCTATTAGCATACCCAAGTTTCTGCTGGCCTCCAGGCTCACTCAGCGCCTGTGGCTCCTTTCAGTCCCTAACCTCAACTCCAGCTCATGCATGGGCTTCCCTTCGCCCAGCCTCCCATTCCTATAACCCTGCCATTTTGGCCACGCACTCTCTTGGCTCTTGGTCCTGTCTCTTGGCCCGCTCTCCTCTTTGCTCTCTCTTATCTTCTTTTCTCACTCCCTTCCCTGCCTCTCCTCTCACGGCCACGTTTAGTCTTCTTTCTCTCCCTGCTCTGGACTCTTCCAAATGCCTCTGGCTGTGCTCACCCTCATCTCTACAACAAAAACCGTCTCTTAAACCACACCATGGAGTGCTCATGTCATAATTTCATTCAAGGTGGCCTTTTTCTTCTTACACAGTCTGGGTCCCCAGCCCACAAAGCGGAGTGGCCCATATTTAGGGTGAGTCTTTCCACTCAGTTAACCCGATCTAGGAATTACCTCCCAAACACACCCAGAGCCTCGTCCCCCGGATGATTCTAGATCCTGTCAAGTTAATAATGTTAACCATCAACATGAGCAAAGATGCTTTGGGTTAGAAGTACTGAAAGAGCCAACTCAAACAATAGGGAGGTTTCTTGACTCGTGGCCCAAAAGAACAAGAATGAAAAAAGCTAGGTAAGGGATTGTCTGATGGCTCAGGGACTAGCTCCTACGTCCTCACTCACACTCTGCACATTGGAGGGCTGCTTTACCTTAACAAACAGCTCCCCACCCCCAACGTCCCCACTTCAGAGACCTTGATCTTCACTCCAATTAGTACCGCTTGGAAGGTGCAGTCACTTTTGAATCAATCATCTGTGCTCAGAAGGGACGCAGTGCTCTGAACATCCAAGCCAGCTGGAAGGGAGAACCTATTTCTCTAGCACCAAGTGGTCCCCGAATAAGCAGGCACAGTTGGACAGAGCAGATGTTGAGACGCAACAACTGAACATCCATCTTGCCCACGCCCTCTTTGTGTGCTGAATGCATCGGCCAGCTCCTCCACTAAGGCCCTGATCCTCCCTGTCAGGTACTTTGTTTTAGAATCTGTACCTCCTTCAGGAGACTGTCAGTCCCTTGGGAGCAGAGCCTTTTGTCATCGTATCTAAGTTTCAAACGGACCTTCCATGTGGCCGCTGTTCAATCAGGTTTTGTTGGAGTAAATCACAGTGCGTGTGTGTGTGTGTGTGTGTGTGTGTGTGTGTGTGTGTGTGTGTGTGTGTGTGTGTGTGTGTTCTTTCATGTGTCAAGGGGAGGTCAAGTGCCCTTGTGTGTTCATGCAAGTGGAAGCCACAGGTCAACCACAGACGCTGTTCCTCAGGCTCTGTCCACCTTGGATTTTGAGACAGGGTTTCTCACTGGCCAGGAACTTGCTGACTGAACTAGTCTGCTACCCAGTGAACCTAGGCATCCCCTGTCTCTGTCCCTCCAATGCTGGGATGACAGCGCCATGCCCTGTCCTTTTATGTGGGTTCTGGTACTGAACTCAGGTCTTCATGATTGTGTAGCGAGCACTTCAGCAGGCAATTATCTCTCCAGCCCCGAGTGACATTTTAAAAAGGAAATAAAGAAAAGTTGTTTACATACTTCCAAATTCCCAAAGGATCCTGTTACCCCACCCCCACACACATGATTAATCCCCTCTCCAGTAAAGGAGGCTAATCACAGGCGACAAAAAGGCTCCCAAGTGCTGTAACCTGATACATTCAGAACATTCTAGTCATTTTAAAGTGAAATCCAATGTCCCCTGCATTTTTTTTTGTATGAATGTGTACGGAATTATAAATAGAAATGGAAAAACAGTAAGACTATGTGAACTCAGTTGGCAGGGGCCCTGGATTTGGACCCCCAAATATAGCAGGCTGACAATTCACCATGGGCAGCTTTTTTTTGTTTTGAATTCAACCCAGTTCATCATTTCGTATGAGCAACCATCCTGAATATTTGTTCAATAGTACATTTTTTTCCACTTCATTTTCCCCCCAAGTGTGAGGCTCTTTCTTTAAAGAGAGATGGGAATCTCAGGCACAGATAAATATATACTCTGGCACTTGGCTATAATACAATTCTCTATAGGCGGTTCTGTCTCGTGTCTGTGGGGTTGGTTTAAATTTGGAAGCTTCCGGAAGGCCGTAGTCCCATGCTCCTTTCCCATAACTTAAGTCGGTGTCAGGAGTCCTGAGAAGAGAGTGAGACAGACAGGGTTCTCAGGAGTGAAGGCTTCAGGGAGGACCCATCCGGTGACCACCACCCACAGTCAGGCACTGTCAGAACTTTCCTAGCATCCCTACACTGCTGTTCTACCTACATTCCTTCCTTTCCTCTGCTCACCCCACTCCAAACCCTACACAGCTTCCAAGAGCTAGCCCCGATGCTGGATACGGCATGTCTGATTATAGTTGATTCAGCCGTTTTCCAGTGTGCAATTGGCCCATGTTTAAAATGTCAACCACATCTCAAGACTTTCCCGTAGGTATGGTTTCATCATTGAGGGGTTGGATTTCTAAACTAGACCATATACATTTGTCTTGGTCTCCTCTCCTGTCGCTGTGATAAAATACTCTGACAAACAAACTCAAGGAGGAAAGGGCTCCTCTCTGACTGCCAGGGAAGTCTATAGAGCAGGATTCTGAAGTAGCTGTTCCCACCACATCTACAACAGGAAGCAGAGAGTGATGAATGCCTTTCTCCATTTATGCAAGCCAGAATCTCATAGAGAATGCGACACCCACAGTGGGCAGATCTTCCAGCCTCAACAATTAGCATAATCAAGTTAATCTTTAACAGAGACCTATCGCCCAAGTGATTCTAGAGCCTGCCCTGTATGAGTTTCTGTCCTGACTATGGAAGCATAAGCCAAATATACCCTTTCCTCCCAAGTTGCTTTTGGTTGTGGTACTTCGTCATAGCAACAGCAACCCTAACTAAGACATACACATAAATTAAAAATAAACAAATCATTTAAAAGCAAGCAAAAACCCCTAACCAGCATGCATGGTTACAGAATGGTTCTCAGCTGTCCCCTGTGCTGCAAACAGTGCAGAAGACCCATGCATGGGACAAAGGCTGCTGAGAGGGACCTCTGTGGCATTTATCAGAGCGCAGTAGCAGTATCTCTGAGGATTTTGTGCTATGTCTGATCACAGAACTTCATCTTACAGTGGTATAGGACTTTTCAGGAGTAAAAAAAAAAAAAAAAAAAAAAAACCACACACACACACACACACACACAAATGGTTTTGCCAATGAGCAAATCTTATTAATATGAATAGTGTAATAAGTAGTATGTGTGTGTGTTTTTCCAGATTTTTTTTTATATATTTACTCCTTTGATTTTCACACTGGGTATTCATTGATGCCGAATGAAGAAAGCAAGGCACAGAAAAGGGTTGTTGGCTATGTAGGAGTCCACAGGCAAAAGCAGGCTGGATTTTCAAACTAAGGAAATACTAGGAACAATTGTGCCAGGAACATCCCAGCAGGCAGCCATGGCACCCTATAACGAGGAGATTCATCACGACAGCCACACCACAGCCACCACACTCACAACTGTCAAAACCACCACCACCAGTACCATTACCATTACCATCACAACCATTCCCGCATCTCCAGGAGAGTGATGAAGGGACTCTACAAAAGTGTGGCTGGGGTTAAGGGCACCCATGCAGGGACAGTGGTGACTCAGCCAGAAGAAGCAGGAAAAAGCCCTTGCTACCCATGCGCTTGGAGGAGCCAAAAGAGAGGGCAGGGTCTAGACCACTCACTGCTAGAGTGCTGCCTGTGGGACAGGACCACTAAGGGAGAGCTGGGAGAAAGGCAAGGAACAGTTTCCTTCCTCTCACCCCTCCCTCTTCCTGTCGGTGCCTCCCCTTAGCTGAAAGTAACTGGAAGCCGGTTGCACTGAGTCAGTGAGGTCAGCTTCCCGCAGCCAGGAGCTTACTCGTAAGCTCCAAGAGCAGACCAGAGGAAATGGAAGGTATCCAACAATGATCTATCATGCGCTCATTTCATGGCAGAGACCACACCAGGGAGTTTACATGGTGCTTTCCTGTCGTCTTTGCCCTCGTCCTGTGCCACGGCTACAGAATCTCAGCTGCCCAACTCTTGGCACATGAAAAATGAAACCTTGTTCTTCTAGAGTTTCATTTCGTTTCCAGATAGAACCTCCACATTGGTGAGAGGTAGAAAGAAACCTTATCTCTACCCACATATTAAACGTGTTTTGTTTTGTTGTTTGTGGGTGGCACCGGGGGATTAAACTCGGTGCCTCCATCCACTGTGGTTTTGCCAGTGACAACATGAATACTAGGCTCCCCCCAGGGGCTTCCACGGGGTAGTGTCAACATTTGCTTTCATTTCCACCAGCATCTCTCAAGGTTGTCATCTAGATTCTTGTCACTGGGTCAAAGCCATGATGGCCTGCCTCGCTCCATGACCTCTCTGGGCACTCTTCTCTTTCGGTCCTCTAGAGAATTCATTTGTTTGTTGCCCATAATGGAACGAAGGTGGGGATGGAGCACGTGACGGTAGCGGTGGATGTGGTAGAGGACTCTGGTGACAACTCGGCTTTAAAAAAAAAAAAAAAAAAGGAAAGGGGTGCAGAAGAAGACTGGTATTAAGTGATGCAGCTGACCTTGAGGAAACTCCTAAATAGGTTGATGATGGCCTATGGGGTAAAGGGGAACAGAGCAGGAAAAAAAAAACAAAACAAACAAACAAACAAACAAAAAAACCAAGAAAGCCTTTGATCCAGTCTCCATCCTGAGCCTCGGAAAAGGGGATATAAAACAAAAGCATTACACGTCCCAGGGATGGGGTAAGAATGCTCCATCTGTGCCCTTAAGTAACTCAAGGGTGATTTATCGTATCTCCATTTAACTGTCTGATCTGGTCTCTGCAGCAGCCAGAAGGAACCTGGAGAAAGACTATGGGCAACCACAAACTCTTTAGCTAAAGACTGATCCCACAGTGGCTTTGCAAGAGCCTGTGTCTTGGCTCAGGCATGTGATCTTTGATGTAATGAGTGCATTCTTGTTCATGCTAATGAGAAAGGATCAGAGACATTTTGCATTGGTATGGAATGGACAGTAATACACATTAACAGTTCTGCCCTGGGGCTCTCCGGCTCATTTCATCTCTGTCATAAGACCAAGTGGGGAAATCTGGAACAGAAGGGCCAGGGAGCATCGCACTGACCCATTTCACTCATTTGCTTGTTGTTTTGGTTTTGAGACAGGTCTCTCACTATGCAGCCCAGGCTGGCCTGGAAATCCCTATGCAGCCCCGGCTGACCTCCAACACAGACAGTCCTCCTGCTCACCCTCCCAAGTACTGGGATTACAGGTGTGCGCCCTCCCCCCCCACTTATCACCGATCGGTTGCCTTTCTAATTTAGCAGGATGAGAAGAGGGTATGTAGCCTGGAGGACTGGATAACGCATATCTGCTCTTGGAGATTTAGAAACCAGCGTATCAATAAAGTTCTGATGGGAGCAGTGGCCAGGAGCATGCTGGGGAGCGGCTCCGAAGACTTGTGGGATTGGTGCATGCTGTAGCTCCCATCGCCAAGGGATCACCGTGTTCCCCAGGTCTCCTGGGCCCCATAGCTAGCTAGGACTATGATTCAAGGTGACATGAAAAGCTGCTGACTCCGGGCAGGACAGGGTCTGTAGTAGATTGAGGCTGTGGAGCAGCCCCCCTGCTTGGACTGTGTAAATGAGCCGACCCTATAATAATGGAGGTGTTAGTGACAGGGAGAATGCATACTTTTTGCTAAATAGCTCCTGCTATGTTTTTGGGCCCTGGTAGGAAGGCAAGAGTTATCCACGGAATGTCCCTGTCCCATGATGGAAAGGTACAAGGTCAGGCCTGAGTGGCAAGAGATGCATCAGGAAAGCTGTCCAAAAACCCATGTGTGACAGTTAATGCCATCAGCTTGAATGGGTCTAGAATCAGAGAGGATACAAACCTGGCGCATGTGCCTGAAGGAGTTTTGGGACTCGATTAGCTGTGGCCAGAAGACCTATTGCAGAGAGAAGCATTTGATGGGCTGGGGCACCAGACTGCATAAAAAGAAGACAGTGAGCTGGCACAGTGCTCATCTCTCTCTGCTTCCTGACTGTGAACGATGAGGTGTGACCAACTGCCTCTTGATGGGGGAAGTCCTGTGTATGTGTCAATAAAGCACTGTTGGCCAATAGGGAACCAAGATAGGTGGGACTAGGAGTCCAGGAGGACTCTGGGAAGGAGAAACACAGGGAGTCAAGATGTAACGCCATGGGGTAGGAAGCCCGGAAACCTCTCCGGTAAGAGAAATACTTAGATTAGCAATTATGGGATAAATACTTAAGTCAGAGCTAGCCAGTAAGAAACAAGCAAGGCCAACAGCTTCATAATTAATACAACGTCTTTTGTGTTATTTGGGGACTACAATGTGGCAGAGTCCAAGAGGCTGGCAGGGTAAAACCAAAGCGGCTGGCAGAGGAAAAGGTTTCCCTTTACAGCCTCTCCCCGCCATGATGGACTACATTCTCCAACTGTGGATCAAAATAAACACTTCCTTCCTTAAGTTGCTTTTCTTGGGCATTTTATTAGCACCACGACAAAATAACTGATGACATGCCCACAGTTGTGACAGCACACCTCCCTCGTTGCAGCGTTTCCATGGCCATCCGTTGTGGGGAGAAGAAATGACAGTCACAGAAGGCTGGCTGAAGAATGAGGAAGAGCCTGGATTTGATTTGCAAAAAAAGGGTTGGCTTTGCCTGTGGCTGTAAGCTGATGCTGCTGCAGGATAGTTGCCTTACAGTGACACCCCTGGATGTGTCATTCATGACCCCGGTAAGAAGTCCTCACAATGGTGGACATTCAAGCAGTGCCCTAGGCATGCACTCGTGTGTGTGTGTGTGTGTGTGTGTGTGTGTGTGTGTGTATGTGTGTGTGTAGGGACAGTCATTTACCAGAGGTGAGAAGAACATGATCACATGTTAGTGGCAAATATCCTGACATAGTGGCCAGCCTAGAAGATAGAAGGATGGAGACAGTGGTCTGTGGGTCTGAGAAAGGGACACACTCATAGCTGGAGTATATGAAATTGGGTACAGAGAACCGAGGTGTTTTTATCCTGTGTTAATATTAGCAGGAAGCATTAATCACGACAGGCTATTAAATAACCATGTAGGTAAAACAGCTCCCCCATTGCAGAATGAGCCCAGAAACTGGCATCCCAAGCACACAAACAGATGGCCACAGAGGCAGAAGCCCAAGTAGGTTTACCACATCACCCCCACTCACCAAGCTCACTCCACCTTTGTGAACCAAGAGCGTGCTGCTCTGCTACAAGGGCCACAGTCGGGAGACGGGGGCTGAGGCCCCTGTGGGTCCCTGCAGCAATGTCTAAGCAGTCCAACCATGACTGAGCCTGAGAGACACTTCTAATCCTGCAGGACTCCTAGGGCAGGCAGTCTGTGCTCTGCAACAGCCTGCCGGGCTGACCACAAGTTAGTTCACCGGTCCTGCCTGGCAATGGGGAGCTATGGCATCCCTTTCTGCTCTCTGTATTCGACCCTTGGCAGACGTCACACCGGCTCGGCTGTCTGGAGACTTTTACTGACCCCTTGGCCCTTCACAAATATCACTCCCCAGTGAACCAACATCCTTGCAGCCCTTGCTCTGCTTCAGCATCTGCTCGCCAAAGGTCGTGACATGATACCATGGTCCATGTGACCTGGAATTCCTTAGCAGTGACATCGCTAGTGCCAGCTGTTAACAGGTTCCACAGGAGCCGTTGCTCAATCTTGTCCCAGAGACTAGCTCACATTCTGGTGTGCAAACCCCTTGACCTGACAACGGGGCTGGAGGGGGAACGGCAGTTAGATCCGGACCCAGAGTGTATGAGGCCCCTTGTGGGTGCAAACGTGATGTCTACTCCAGGAGAAGGAGGCAGCAGAGAGCCACAGTGAGAAGCCTTCTTTCTGGCTTGACACATCCTCGCAGGAAATTCTGAGGATTCCGAGAATTCTAAATTTGAATCTGGCCTTTCGGGGTGTCAAGGTAGGTGGGTGGAACATTATGTAACAGTATCTTCGCTTGACTGATGACTCTCAAGTGTTTATTTTAAACGTTTAAACTGGAGAGATGGCTCAGTGGCTAAGAGCATGTACCGCTCTTCCAGAGAAGCTGAGTTCAATTCCCAGCACCCACATCAAACAGCTTGCAACCAACCACCGGTAACTCAGCTCCAAGGGGATCTGTGGGCTTACACAAGCACCTGTACAGACTTAACACACATATACATAGATTAAAGAAATAATAGAAATGTATTTTCAAAATAAAGTCATTTAGCCGGGCGTTGGTGGCGCACGCCTTTAATCCCAGCACTTGGGAGGCAGAGGCAGGTGGATCTCTGTGAGTTCGAAGCCAGCCTGGTCTACAAGAGCTAGTTCCAGGACAGCCTCCAAAGCCACAGAGAAACCCTGTCTCGAAAAACCAAAATAATAATAATAATAATAATAAAGTCATTTAAACTCCTGGAAAACGTTAGGAGTGGGCCTCGGGATTCACTTCCTTGGGTCAGCGGTATGTAGTGACTGGTTTCATCACTAGTCAACACCAGTCATCTTACAAAAAGAAGGGCTTGTACAAACCTTCCCGAGATCTGTCCCACCCTCTCCCTAGGCATACGGACAGTGTAGGACTTGAATGTCACACTGAGATGACTGAAGGGAAGCAAGTCACACGTCCACGGGAGAGTCTTCAATAACGGAAATAAATTGGAACTATAAACAGAAAATTTGTTTATCATACACAAAATCAAGAGCTATGTGGGGACAGAGGGAGGTAAGGGGGAGGGGGGAGGGGAGGTGGTGGGGGAGGAATGGGGGTGGGGGAAGGGGGTGGTAAGAGTAGTTCAGTGACAGAGTACATGGCATTTTCAGGTCTCTGGTTCCCATTTCCAGCATCACCAAACAGACAAAACAAAGCCCCCAACTTGCCAAACCAGCCAAGGCTATATAGCAATTTCTCAAAAACAAAAAGAAACCTGGGCAGTGGTGGTGCACACTCTTAATCCCAGCACTTGGGAGGCAGAGGCGGATGGATCTCTGTGAGTTTGAGGCCAGCCTGGTCTACAAAGCTAGGTCCACAACAGCCAAGACTATACAAAGAAACCCTGTTTCAGAAAAATAAATAAAAAATAGATGAAAACAAGACCAAAAAGAAACAATCAAAACTCCATAGGTCTGTGAAGTAGTTCAGTTGGTAGAGTGCGTGCCTAACATTCATGAACCTGTGGGTTCAATTCCTAGTACCCTATAAACTGAGCAGGGCGGTGCGTGATTATAAACTCACCACTCATTTATTATTATTTATTACTATTATTATTACTGTTCTTTTCGAGACAGGGTTTCTCTGTGTAAGAGTCTTGGCTGTCCTGGAACCTGCTCTGTAGACCAGGCCGGCCCCAAACTCCCAGCTAATCCCACCATTTATGAGGTAGAAGGTAGATGATCAGAAATTCAAGATTAAAGGTTTGAGGCCAGCCTGGAATATATGAGACCCTGTCTCTAAATATGTAAGTAAATAAATAAACAAGCAAGCTAACCCCTTCATAATTCTTGATAATAAAAAAACAAAATTTGAACAGCCATACTGCTGAAGAGACTGAATTAATTATCTACATAAATTTTTACCTCATCGTTATCATGTGAAGAGTCCATCAGTTGTAAGCATCAGATAAAAACGTAGGCAAAAGTAAGGATGCTGGAGAAATGGCTCAGAGGTTAAAATTACTTGTTGCATTTCCAGAGGACCCAGCATCTACACAGGGTAGTCCACACTGCCTGTTAGGCCAGCTCCAGGGTACCCAAAGTCTTTTTCTGGTCTCTGTAGGCACTGAAACACAGTGAACACACACACACACACACACACACAACAACAACAACAATAATAGTCTGATATTGGCACAGACCTTTAATCCTAGAACTCAGGAGGTAGTATCAGGGGGATCTCTGGGAGTCTGGTCTACAAAGCAAATTCTAGACAAGTCAGGATTGTACAGTGACATCTTATCTCAATAATAACGACAACAATTATCATCATCTGAAAGTTATTCTAAAAAACAATCATATGAGACTTATAAACACAGTTTATTTTAGATTTTGTGATATTTGCAGTAATTTTAAGGCTTTTTGTTTCTATTGTTTTGCATTTATTATTGTGTGAGAGAGGTTCGGATAAGAGTGCATGTGCGGGTCACAGAATAACCTTCTTGCCTGCCACCTTGTTTCTGAGGGAGGACCACTCTGGGTACTCCACCTTGTTTCTGAGGGAGGACCACTCTGGGTACTCCACCTTGTTTCTGAGGGAGGACCACTCTGGGTACTCCACCTTGTTTCTGAGGGAGGACCACTCTGGGTACTCCACCTTGTTTCTGAGGGAGGACCACTCTGGTACTCCACCTTGTTTCTGAGGGAGGACCACTCTGGGTACTCCACCTTGTTTCTGAGGGAGGACCACTCTGGGTACTCCACCTTGTTTCTGAGGGAGGACCACTCTGGGTACTCCACCTTGTTTCTGAGGGAGGACCACTCTGGGTACTCCACCTTGTTTCTGAGGGAGGACCACTCTGGGTACTCCACCTTGTTTCTGAGGGAGGACCACTCTGGTACTCCACCTTGTTTCTGAGGGAGGACCACTCTGGGTACTCCACCTTGTTTCTGAGGGAGGACCACTCTGGGTACTCCACCTTGTTTCTGAGGGAGGACCACTCTGGGTACTCCACCTTGTTTCTGAGGGAGGACCACTCTGGTACTCCACCTTGTTTCTGAGGGAGGACCACTCTGGGTACTCCACCTTGTTTCTGAGGGAGGACCACTCTGGGTACTCCAGGTGAGCTGACCTGAGAGCTTCCAAGAGAGTCTCCTGACCCCTCTCCAATCTCACGGCAGGAGTGCAGGGATTACAGCTGGAAGCCGCCCCACCCGACTGTCTGTGGGTCCTCAGGCTCGCCTGCTTTCTCACTCATCTCTCTTTATGCTCTAACTGTAATTTGTTGTTCAAGCCCCCAAGCAACAGGGTCAGGGATGTAGACTAGTTGTAGGTTAACGTGTGCAGGCCCAGCACCCTTCCCCAATCAAATCACTTTGTTTGTTTGTTTTTTGAGACAGGGTTTCTCTGTGGTTTTGGAGGGGCTGTCCTGGAACGAGCTCTTATAGACCAGGCTGGTCTCAAACTCACAAAGATCTGCCTGCCTCTGCCTCCCAAGTGCTGGGATTAAAGGCGTGCGCCGCCACCGCCCAACTCAAACCACTTTTTTTTATGGACTTTTTCTTTGATTTTTTATTTTTATGTGCATTTAGGGTTTGGCCTGCATGTCTGTGTGGAGGAATAAGGTCCCTGGAACTGGAATTACAGACAATTGTGAGCTGCCATGTGGGTGCTGGGTATTGAACCTAGGTCCTCTGGAAGAGCAGTCAATGCTCATAGCCTCTCAGCCATCTCTCCAGCCATCTCCTCTTTCTCTTAAGGGGCCCTCCATAGTGACTAAACTTCGGGCCTCACTAAACCTGGATCCACTCCTGACAAACGATGTGACATCGGAAGGCAGAGCGAATTGCCCCTGGTTTACAGGAAAAGTCAGGGTCTGGGATGAGGTTGCCTACTCACTCTGTCTCTGGGTTGTTTTCTGTGAAACTCTGGTATCTCCATGCTTCAAGACTGCCAGTCTGTGTGCAGATCCTCCACCCACTCCTACTCCACAAGTTCCCACAGGGAAAGAAAAAAAAGGGGGGGATCTCACGAGAGGCCTTGATGAGCGAGTCTCTGCCAAGAGCATCAGCTCGGCTACAGCCCACACAGCGAGGATAGAGAAACGGGAACCAGAACCAAGTAATGCAAACAGCCAGCTCTCCAGGGGTCCGAGACAGGTGCACTCAGGCGTTCTGTATCCCAGACCTGCCTGGACATCCTAGAAACCCTGCTGCGGCTTCCACGAGACCAAGAAGAGCAAGGGCAGACAGTGCGGAAGGACTACTTGTCTGTATTTCCGGGCTCCCGAAACAGGGCAGCTCTGCAAAAAGAAATAGCTTAGCTGTGTATAGCCAAGACCACACCCAGGTTCAGGATTGCTGCCAAGGGGCCTGACTGGCCACTCATCTTTGGCCTTGGGCCTGTGGACACTCCTTTTGTTAATCTTGAGACTCACAGAAGCCTCGCCTGGCCTGCATAAGCCCACAGATTCTATCCCTACTCCAGAAAACAAAGAGTATTTTTAAAGTATTAAAATAAAATCATAAAAGCATTGCCTCTGACAGCAAAGAGGACCTGGATGTCACTGCAGAGTGTGACTCTTAAAGGTTGACTCTGCTGAAGTGTTGACAAGGACAATAAAGATAAAAATGTGGACAAGGGGCTGGGGAGGTGACTCAGCAGTTAAGTACACATAGTGCCCTTGAAGAAGACCTGGGCACAGTGACCCATAATCCCCTGTAACTCCAGCGCCAGGGACCTGGCGCCCTCTTCTGGCCTCCAGGTGTACTGGCGTCCACTTGCACATACCCACATCTGTATATACAACAAGGGGCTGGAGACATGGTTCAGCAGTT